GGGGTTGGGTCTCGGGCTCGAGGAAGAGGGCTCCACTAATCCTCCTACTTGAGGGGGAAGCCTCTCACTCATTCAGCACTTGTCCAGAGGACTTATCTGTACTGGGGAAAAGGAGACAAGAAGAAGAGTGTTGGAGGAGCTTTTGTTGCCACTTCAGCCATGTCGATGCTAATTGCCACCCATCAGATCGATACCACCACCTCTAAAATGGTAAGCTGCGATCATACTGTAGTGTGCATACTGTTGAGCCGGCTCTGTCGCTGTGACTGCAGCTTAGTGTTTAGCCCATGGGGTTTGCATGAAGCTAATTCACTCTAAACAGGCTTGTTTCCCTGCTGTTTTGTCATATTGTAGCTCACTTGTTGCCATTAACATAATAACACTCTCATTCTGATGGAGATATATAGTATACATCATGGCCCTTCTCTCAGGGTAGATGAGTAGCCAGCCGGGTGGACTGGACTGTAAGTGTCTTGGTAAAGTGACAGAGGGGTTTCTTTTTTCCCTGAAGGGCCAGCGCTGTCCCCGGAGCTCTCCTTCATACCTCACTCACCATCTCTCAAGGCGACTTGGCAAAGGTAGACGTTTGATCAGGCTCTCCACATGTCTCCTTAAATCAGCCTTTCTCTGCACATCTTTCTATCCACTTCATCTGCCCCCTTCATTTGAACCCTTGGAAAGCTATTAACACTGTCACATCAGTGGCTCTGATAGAAAGTGGCTCAGGCCAGAAGTGACTCTTTTAGCGCTCATGTGCGCTTGTTTGGGGATGACCTGCCCGGTCTCACCAAATTGTATGAATAACACAACGATTTGTAAGTCATTTAGTCTCCAACAACAACGGCGTTTGTGCTTTTTGTGTGTCATCTTAAGCCATGTAGGCTGTACTCACTGCAATGCAAAAGCATACATATAAATATGCATTGCCCATAGCAAGTGGCATAGCATAAAAAGTGAGAATGACTACTCATGGGGGTTGGGAGGGGAGGAGGATGGGATATGCAAAAGTCAACTCCTACTGATGTTTTTTGAACTGTAGTTAATTGCAAATGCTCAGATCAGGCGTGGTAATCATCATCAAAAATATTTTTTTTGTTATATTTGTTGAAATCCTCATTTCTTCTCGACTGAAATCAATAAAAAAGATACACTGACAAAGATGCTTGACATCTGTGAGTACTAACAACAGCCATGTTCATTGTTTACGTTCATTATGATCATTTTGGGGGAGTGTGTTTGAGGGTGTTGCAACTTTCTTACTAGATTTAGCAACGTTGTGAGCTAGTGCTGCTCGCTACTTTCATTGGAAAAGCGTTGGCAACACTGGTCTGGGTTTGGTGAAGCCTACAACTATATGAAATATGAAGTTAAAGGTTGTATCAATCTATTCTTAATTGATAAAAGTTGTTCTGTAAATCACAGAAGACAACCCCATTTTCTGCCATTAAGAAATTGTAATAGATAGATAGATACTTTCTTCATCCCCAGGGGGAAATCTGTCCAATCTTTCTTTATATATCTATAGCCATTAAAATATTTTTTATTAAATTCCCTTTTGAATTAACACATTTCCCATCATATTTCTATTTCAAGGAAATCAAGCATGAGCTGCTTCAAAGCTGGTGTGTTCTCCCTGTTACGCAATGGCTGATTCAGATAAACAGCAGGCAACAAACACCACGGCCTTATTCGCTGTCGAGTTCCTGCGAGGCAACATTTAGGAAGTCCGCTTTAATGTAGAAAATCACAGATTTTCATGGTTGACTTTACATAATCAGCACATTGCTCAAATAAACAGAATTATTTATATGTGAGTTGTCAAATCAGGGAAGTATTATGGATTTTTTTGCACCACTGAAAATGTTGGCCATTGGTGCATTATTCTGTTTATGTAAATGTAGTCAATCTGTACTCTTTTCCAGTGCTTGTGACTGTACATTTGGGTATCCAGAGTACCTACCAACCCACAGACCGTGAAATAAGACAACCCAGTCAGCTTTTTGTGGGCTGTCTGGATCAGAAAACATATTCAAATTTGGCTCAATCTGAATATCTTTACAGCTTGAAAAGTACCTTTGCAAAGGTGCGCCATACTTTTCTCACAAGCCAATCAGAGCAGACGTAGCTTTTTCAGGAGGGGGGGCTTCAAGAGACAGGAGCTAAAACGGAGCGTTAAGGACAGAGCGTGAATACGGGTGTATTCAGACAGACAGGATGAGAAAAGTAATGTGTTTATTCAACATTAGCGAATGTAAACATGTTCTAGTAGGAATCCAGAATGCAAGTATGAACCTAAAAATGAGCATGATACGTCTCCTTTAAAAGAGGACCCGGTTTATTTACTAATGTCTGCTACAAATGATCACGAGTGGGCTCTTTCTTAAAGTAGAGGTGTATATCTCAGCTGCAGTTGTCCTATTAATGCTAATATCTGATATCAGCAACGGGTATAGTTTAGAAAAGGGCAGTGCATTCTTTTACAGTTGGCATTGTAGATCATAGTCAAAATCATTTTTTTTTTCCTCGATTCAGTGACACAGAATAAAACAAAAAAGTAAAAATGAAATCCTTGCCCTCCAGCGTCATGCTGCTTCATATCTTGACAGGCCTCACCCTCCCATCCTCTCTCTGTGTTGCCTTTCAGTTTGAATCCCCCCGGTCTCAGGACGTTTCATCCACTAGTCACCACCAGTGCACTTTAACAGTGATGTACTGGATCCAGTGCTCTCCTCTCTCTGGTCCCGGGGGCCCCGGGTGCCCCGGGTGAGCCCTTTGATACTCGCACATCGGATGATTCATATTTCCAGTAGCAGCAGCCGGGCCTGTCTGGGGGTTTAGATGTCCCAGATTTAACACAAAGCTCCCCCACTTTCCCCCTCATACCTCCCCGGGCAGAAGCCACACATCACTACTCAATGTTAAGATGTCTCATTTCCCAGCTAATGTGCCTAATTCCAACCCCTCCGTTACATTATAATGGTTTCCAGCTCATGAACTATTATCCTTGATGGAAAATCTTCACTTTAAACACTAGAGATGCTTTACGTACGTGCCAAGTAAGGAGCGGGGAGGTGTAGCAGAGTGCAGGAATGTATTTCAATGGCATTTTGACACAAATGTTATTGGAAAAAACACTTGAATTGGTTTACCTTAAAAATTCCTCTCAGGTTTCATACAACGTGAAGAAATACTTCTGTGCTATGTGGCAGATTAGTTCTGTAAAAAAGGGGGGATTTATTACAAAAAAGGCGAGATTTAGTATTGATTCTTTCTGAAATGACAGATGATTGACTGCAACACACAGCAAAGGCTGGAATATGAATAAGTGATTTTCTCTGCGGACATTTGTCTCTGGAGCCGCTCCTCTGTGGCATTTAAGTCCTACTTCTCTTCAAATAAATCAATAATTACTTTAAATCCACAGTTTTCTATTTTTTTTTTTTTTTTTAGCCATTCATGCAACCTTTTCACTTTTCCAGCCAGAATACCAAGCAGAAAAAAGCTGAGTGGAGAAATCACTAATGTGGAATTGAATGTATAGATTTTTTTGTGTCTTGGCTAACGCGTTCTGGCCAGTTCACTTGGCATCAAGTCAAAAATGTGACTCGAATCCTCAAGTAAAACAAATTAAAAAGCCATCAGATAATGCCAGCAGCTTGTTGTAGTAATAATAAAGCTCCATCATACACTCGAGGTGTGTGTGTGTGTGTGTGTGTGTACTCTACGTGTGTGACAGGTTTAAATGCCAGCAGTACAGGTGAGGAAAATGTATGTAAACTTTCCATTTTTCCCGCCCCCTCTTTCCCTTCTTAGACTTTTCTTTTCTTCTTTGCACTCTTTGTTCATTTCCCTTTCTCTCTGATCTAACTTCTGTTATTGTTCTTCACCTGGTCATACCTTACCTGTAAACCTCATAACCTCACAGTTGTGATTTGAGTACATCTGGAGGTACAAATAAACAGAGGACTCGAGGTGCGTGTCATGCTGCAGTCTGCAGTACTTGAAGCAAAACAAGAGAAACAATGGAGTAATAAGTGAGAGAGCTGCAAGCAGGCGCCGGCATTCTAAGTGTTCTGTAATGCTTTTCACCTGATATTTCTTTCTATGAAGTGACTGGACAGTATTAAATCCTCTTTTCATAAGCAAGAGCACTGGTGGGTTCATGCTGAGCTGCCAAACATTGATCAAACCTAACTAACCTACATAACTTAAATTTAAACTGTTTTAAAGATACTCTATTTCAGACCAAATTTGAGATAAATGTGCATTAATAAAGCATCTTGAAGTTGAAAATCAAATCTCAGTGTAAACATGATCTGGCTCTGTGGATTAAGATGATTTCAACAAGCTTAAAGCTGCACTAGGGCAAAATGAAACCGGGAAAACTGCATGTTGAGACGAGACTAAGGGTCTGCAGTCACGTTAATGTCTCAGTGAGGCTTACTTTGAGCTAAATGCTAACATCACCATGCTAACATTCTCCCAATAATGCAGATGTTTAGCATGCCACCACCTTAGCTTAGCATATTAGCATCCTAACATTTAGAAAAGCTAGTGTGGATAATGCATTTTAGAATTCTTTTTTTTGTTTTGATTTTCTGTTTTTTTACATTCGGACAACAATCAATGAATCAAATGCTCTGACAAAAATAAATAATCTGGTATCTGTGGCTTCCACAGGACTGTAATAAGCCTGTCTCCCTACCGGCGTGTCTCTCTGCCTGTGCACTCATTGCGCATCACCGGATTCGTCCACAAGCTGCTAGCTTGACAGCTGTGAGTACTGACAATAGCCATGGTCATTGTTTACGAACATAATGATCATTTGGAGGGGGAGTGTCTTTGGAGGCAGGCCTGAAGGGCCGGGCTGTCAGTGTTTTTTTTTGCTAGGTTTAGGGACTTTTGGAGCTTTTGGACTCTTATAGTCCCTGCGAAGTGGATTTGTTGCCTGAAAGACAAATCAACCCTCAGACTTTTCTTACTCGGACCGCCATCTCCACCATACGTGGAATTATTCTGCTTTCCCCGTTTGGGAAATAGGATCCAAGTCAACAGAGAAGCTGCGATAACTGAAATGCAGTTTATTTTCCTAGCTATGCATCTGCAAATTACCCTTGTGCCTCTTACACTTTATACTGTATGTGCTTGATGTTTCGCCCACCGTTGCGTTCACTCCCGATCTCAACACCAGGCTCTTTTTCTATTTCTCCCCTTCAGCCCTCCTCCCCGCTCACTCTAGCCCTCTACATTTCCTGGTGACTTTATCAGGCCCATTTCAAATGGGATTGGGACTCAATTTGCCATGCTTCACGTCACTTTGCCAGAAAATTCCTCACTTGATACAGACCCGTCATAAAACTGCAGAATGCGTAAAATACGATTTGTCAAAACTTTCCCCCCCTCTTGCTATTTGTCATTTCCCAAATGTTTTTTGTGAGAGATTCGGCGCGGTGGCATTGGGCAGATGGAGGTGTCCATCAAAAAAAAAGGTACTCGTTGCATTGGTGTTGAGGCGGGTAGGTGGTTTCACAGCAGCAAGTGACAGCACCTATTAATTTGGCCATTTAATTTTAAGTCCAACGGCGTCAAGCTCCAGCACCTTCAATCTCTTCCTGTCATTCAAAACAAGCCTCTATAGCCAGTGGCCACACACACACACACACACACACACACACACACATATATAGAAGAAGCGAAAAGGCTTTTAATGTGAAGCTGAAACCTAGGCTGGCACTGAGAATGTGAGACTTATACCCTACCGCATTTTAAATTGGTGCTGTGACATCCCGGCAATACTTAGGGACAGATGTACAGGTGTGTAAAACGACTGCAGCTGCAAATTGGGTTCTCTTGTCATAAAGTAGAAGTCCAACAGACCCAAGTATCCCGGGTAATGGCCAGATAGATCCTCACCCTCTGTGAAGCTCGGGATTGAAGGTGGAGGTTGATGATAGTATTCTCAGTGAGAAACGGACCACAGCAGAGAAATGTGACACCACGGTATGAATTCATGAGTTCTCGCTCTTTTATTTATTTATTTTTCTCTCTCACCTGAACCTTTGATCCCACTGTGAACGCCTGCTCCCTTCACAGCTTCAACAGGAGGATTCCTCTTATTATGCGAGGTCAAACTTGCCTTTTACCAAACGTATAGTTCCCCTCTCTTTTCTATCTTTTAAGTTTCCCTGGTGGATTAATTAACTCAAGTAGTATGTGTGCATTTAAAAGGCCAGAGTGTAGGATTTAGTTGTTTTTTTCCATTGGTTGCAATCTGCAACATCACCACTAGATGGCATCAAATCTTACACACCGTCCCTGTAATGAGAGAGGCGACACCATATGACTTCCCTTATTTATTTTTTTATTTATTTTAAGGAGCAGTTCACCCAAGCACCCACAGTCTGGGTTTCATTTGTCCAGACTGCACCCATCCACCACAGTCCTGTCCGCCCTGAGAGGGCATCTAACTATTAATATTATATTAATTGTTCCGAGGGTTTAGTATAATAAATGCCCATGTGTCTGTGAATGACAGCAGCCAAACCCTTGAAAAGTAGCGATGCAATATTCTTGTCCTGTGCATCCTAACATTGTTGTACCAGACCCGCATAACTTGATTTCATTTTAAAATGCCAGTCGAGTATAATTAGGACGTCATGAATATCGCCACTTACTGGAATAGTGCAAACATAAGAAACATGGATTCTTGGTTTGGAATATTTCACTCAGTGTAAACATAATAATAATTCAAAGAGTTGGAACAGACAGATAAACGGTGTGGAATAAGATGACTTAAAGCTACTTGTGGTGTAGTTAAAGCAAATACAGCATGCTTTCTTTCAACTTGGTTGAAATGAGCCTTTAAATCTTGTTCTCCTTAAATCATCAGCATTTTTCTGACGCCGCCGACATCAAAGATATCGATCCTCTGGTTTAACTCATGTAACTTAATGCTTGTCAGGATGATTGACCGCCTCCCTTCAGCCACATTAATTGCTGTCTGGCTGCCCCATAACTTCAAATCTGCCGGCAGTAGCACAACTTCTACTGCAGCCAGTGACCCGACAGCTCCGTCTGCTACCTCTCTGTGGCAGCTTCCTCCGCACCACCTTCAATTCATGATGGAGGAAAGGATTTAGTGACCGCCGCCTCCGAAGTAGTTCCTGTCCTGGGAGGCACACGGGGCTTGAAGAGTACAGCTCTGGCACAGCGGCGTGACGTGAGAAACCGTCACAACACGTGAACGGAAAGAGATGCACTTGACTCATGGCCGTGCGTACAATTTTAGCATGACATTTGCAACACTGATGTTTTTTGTTCAGCAGCACAGCGATCTTTTTTTACTCAGAAGTAAATACACACAAATGAAGCTGCATTCATCCACCAGATGGCAGCCTTTGTCCACTGCTCCGAATTGAACTACTGGATATCTGAGTGTGTTTGAGTTGTAGTTATTGTCTCTTACTATTACTATTACATGGCAACACAATGAGAACTGTGTGCAAACAACATTCAGCTGGAGATATTCTGAATTCTCTGTTTGTCCTGTTTTGAGATCAGGTGCTTCTGTATGAAGTGCATAGTGGTTGTTGTCAGTATGCCCACTTCTTCTGCTGCCTTTGTCCTCTGGAGGTCGGCCCCACTCGGCTGATATCAGCCCGTCCTTCCCCACAAACGGAAGACTCCGGCAGGGATTAAACCACACAGCTCTTCCCTCTGCAGCTGCAGGGCTGAGGTGCTCAGGCGTCAGAGATCCTCAGTCTGCTGCATTTAACTCTTCATAGGGAAGCATAGGGAAGAATCTTGTCTAGTGCTTCCTATGACCTCAATCGATATGATGGGGTAATCTAATAAGGTGATTTAGCAGGAGGGCCCAGACAGACCGCACTGCTGGTCCAGGAAGTGAGTTACCTTTTTATTTTTTACATTATTAACATCAGTTTGAAGATGTTCACCCACATATTCAGTCCACCTTAAAATGTACTGCATCAGTACTCTCAGGATTTTCTGCAGTTTGACGAATCTTGCTACCCAGCCTTTTTTCCCCTTCTTCTTAATCACATCACTACAGTGCCTGGAAAATTAAATTGCATTTGCCAGAGTCTGAGATGGATTTGATGTGCAGAAACACATGGCAGTATTTATTCCCCCTTTCCCTCATGAAACCTTTCTTGGAAATCAATGTTAAAATATTTTGCAGAAGCACGGCAGAGCTGGAGTCTGCGCTATCTGTATTTGTGGGTTTGCAGCTGAGTAATCGCACCATGCAGCGGTATAGGGTGTGTTTTAATCTGTTTAGGAAGTCGGCTTGATTGAAAGGTAAATCTGAGCAGATGTGAGATGTTTGGCTGTAGGTAGGCTGGGGATGTATAGGAGGAGGATCTTTGCTTTAAGCTTCTCCACAAAGTAGCTGCGTCTGTTCCTGGGACGTGTCTGTTATTTGTGATGAGTGAATGACTTGTTCTACGTTTTTAACTCTGAGAGGCTCAACTCCCAGCATGCTCAGCTTGTTAGGTACACGGAGGCCATACAACATCAAATCACATTACAAATTCTGTTGTGTATAAAATGACTCTCCTTCTGATGGGATTACAAATACATATGAATGATGTGGCATCAGGCCATCTGGTGACTCCGTCAGCTGTTTTCTTTATTTTCTTTCTGTCTTTTGAATGTGTGAAGTATTATCATTTGCCTTGTATCTGTATCTGGACTCTAGTCCGTGCTTTAGCATCATGCTTTTAATGTCTGGAAACTCCAATGTAACAATAGTTTGCCGTTACTCATTTCCACACAAAGATGAAATGGTTGATCAACTATTTTACTATTTCTTTAAATTATTTTAGTCCTTTTTCCAGCAAAAATGCTGAACACTCAGCAGTTCAAGCTCCTCATATATGAGGATTTGATGCTTTTCTTTGTCATATTTGACAGTAAACTTTTTTTTAAATCTTTGGTCAGATAAAACAAATAATTTGATGACTTCCTCTTGGGTTCTGCAATTCTAGATACATTTTCAAACAAAACAGACAATGGGAAGATTATTGATGCTGAAGATAAGCATCTGTTGCAACCCTATTCATGCTGCGCACCATATAGCTCAAAGGTTTAAAATGAATGGAAGTTTTAAGGTTGCAGCAACACTTCATTTGGCTCTTCATTTTAATTCATTTTGACCTATTTACGCCTGACTGCATGTATTATATATTGTCCTTACTGTAAATCCCCACCAGTAACCTACTGAATTAGTGGAATTAGGAAAAGAAAACAGCAAGTTACCTTCAAATGGAAAACAAATGAGTATCACTTGTCATCTGTCACATGAAACCTGGAGAGAAAAACAAGATATTTGTATTTCCTACAGTTAATGGTGCATAATACCTCTCCTTTAAAATGTGCCATGCCTGTCAGTCAACTTTATCCTCTTTTTCTTTCTCCACATGGGGGCACTCTTGTTCTCCGCACCACACATCTGTCGACCCGAACGGAGGCACTGATGAGACACTAATAGAGATACTTGAGCTCCTCTCTATCTGCAAACTCATGATAAGTTTCGACCGCGAACCTCTGATATCTGATCTGTTAATGTGGCGTTGCGTCGCTCGCAGCTGTTCGGGCACATCTGCAGATCTCTGTGCTCATTTGTAATGCAAAGACCTATTAGTCCCCGGACGTTTATCAGCGGTCACTTTCTTTCCTGCCACGAGGGAAGGGGAAGAGGGAGTTGGGATCTCACTGAGGCTGGCTTTCTCCGTTTTACGGGTCCGGATCCTGACAGCTTTTACCGGTCTCTCCAGTAACCCGCACTCCGTTGTTTTTATTTTATTTTTTGCATCACGTTGTGAAAGTGTGGAAGCCGCGTCGCTGCAGCATCGGTGAAAGCCGACCAGCGAGCCTGTAAGTACGTGATCTGAATCCTGAACACAGCTTGGAGTCTTTGTTTTTCTCCAGCTGAACTAGAGCATCGTCTAATCGCACTACCTCATCCCGTCCTCATTGACCTCCTCTGACTTGGACTTTTTTTGTTGTTGCATTTATTGAGAGACTTTTTTTGTGTGACAAACAGTCAACATGGCGTCACTGTATCAGAGATTAACCGGCAAGATCGACACAAACAAATCCTTCCCCAACCCTCCGGAGGAGAGCCATCTCCTCGGGCAAGGTGTGGACGGGGAGAGGGCGGCGGAGAGCCAGCGACCCCGGCTTCAGTACCGCCAGCAGTGCGAGGACGAGGACGTAAGAAACTTAAAGCTGCCGTGACCTCTTGCTTGTCCGGTTTCATGTTGGGACCAACTAGTTTTACGCAGTGATCGACTCTGGAATAGCACGATATAGCCGTATTCATGTTAAACGTATACGAAAGAACGGGTCTGCTTAATGCCCCTATGCTGTTCATTACAACTCCCCAATTTTAAAGGCAAACTTGGCAAACTTGTGCGTCAATGCATCAATTGGTTGGCCTGTCTGTCAATCAGTGACGCGTGAGTTGCGTCTCTTGTAAAGCGGCACGTTTAGACGCTGATCGTGCGCTGCATTTGCACGTGTCCCGATGCTGTTTAAGTCTAGCTTGGAATGAGTGGCACTAACGTTTAAATCATGTCATCCAACATTCCCCAGGATCCGCCTTATTATCTCTCTTTTGGGTGGTTTTTCTTGTTTTTGTTTCTCCAAATATATGCTCAATATCTGTAAATATTTATGTTAAACTGTTTGTGAGTTGAATGTCATCCAGTTCTGCAGGGTCACCTTGGTATTATAATCCGTGTTTGTTGTCCAAAGCACCTGCCTGAGACTGAAACCGCTGCCAAGTGTTCGGGTCGGACGAGCAGACATGTGGCGCTGTCCGTGGTGCTGAAACAGTGACGCACGCTGGAGTCGCCCGCTGTTGTCGCTGTCCGTGGTGCTGAAACAGTAACTCACGGCAAAGAGCTTTTATGGGGCTGTTTTTATTAGTCTGTTTACTCCAGATATTATAAAACAGTCTGTTGTTGTGAATACGTTGACCTTTTTGAATCCTTGCCATCATTATTATAAGTGGTATTTAAGGCCCAAGTGTGACTTTGAATCACAAGGTTCCATCTGCAAACTGAGCAATAGAGTCTTCACATCTGAGATAGCAAAACAGCAATACAGAAAAGAGGAGAGGTACTCTAAATATCATTGTATCTCCATATGGTCGCCAGGCAAGTGATCTAGAAGATCCTAATCTTCTAGATCACTTGCCTGGCGACCTGTCCAATGTGGGATTGGCTCCAGCCCCCTATAACCCTGTAAAGGATTAGTGGTTACAGATGATGGATAGATCTTCTAGATTAGGTGGATTTCAGATCGATGGATGCCATTGTCCCTCTGCTGTCTGCTGTTGTTTCTCTCAGCAGTCTTCTGGTATTTGGTTTTTGCCCCCAAAATCAGCTTTTAAGTATGGTCTGGACAAGTCCAGGTTCCTTGCTCCATTTGACGACCAGAAAACAAGAATGGACTGTATTGAGTCAGAGACTAGTGTGGGGTGACTATGGATCAGGGTCTCCCTGGTGAGATGGGAATACTGAAGAAATCAGCCAGCGAGTTGAGATTGCTGTCTCGCTGCACTAGATTGTTTAATTTCAGGAGAAGGAAGCTGCTGGTTGTAGCCTTAATCTAGTGCCACTTTTGACTATGCAATGCTCGGCCTGGTTTAGTGGTTTATCACAAAAGCCAAAAAGCTGAAAGCAATACACGTGAAATATTCGAGGTAGATAACTTTGGAATGCATGTTGTGTCTAGTAGCTTGATTTAAGTGTATTTGATGTTTGGAACTAAGTGTTGCGTTACGCTTTTACGTGCTAATCTGTGGGTCTGACTTGAGCATCGGATGTTTTTGTATCTGCTGTCATTTCTGTCTGCAAAATAAACTCAAAACTCCGTGCTTCAGTGTTTGGCTGGTGTTGGAGCTTGCCAAAGAGCTTGATCATCGTTCCGTTGAGAAACTGTCGGACAGGCCGGGTAGGATGACAATGTCAATGGAAATATAACACACCTCCAACAGGCTGCTATCTGTAGAAATGAAACAAATTGACTCTGTGTTTTCCGTGGACATTATACTCCAACATTAACTGTAATAAAAGAGTTGAGCAGTCTCACTATCATTAGTGTGTCCTCTGCAGCACTTGCGTTGTAAACAGACATAACTCTACTTTAGGAGGCTGAACACTGAGATGTTCTGCAAATTGAAATGTGACGTCATTGTTATCATCTCTGAAGTAGTGACAATAACTTTCAGTTACTAACAATAAGCTGTCTAGCATGCTAAAGATATGCTTTTAACCAACTAGAGACCAGTAACTGGTATTTGTAACAGTGTCGCTCATAACAACTTCAATAGAATTTGTAAAATGAGCAACATTTTCTGATCTTTTCAGCTTCTTTAATCTCAAAGACAGAGCAGTGATTTGACTCGGTACAGAGGTGGAAGTTGATTGCTTGTCCTGTGTGCGCTCTGAGCACTGAGCTCTCTTTGCATGTAGAATGTTATCGACAAGTTAGAGAATTAACCTGGCGGTAAAGCTCTTGATCAAATGTGAGACTCACTGAAGCATAAAGGTCAGAATAAAGGCACATACAACTTAAATAACTTGTCCAGGAGTTCTGCTGTGTGAATAACTCAGATAGAATAATAATTCAAGGGTCATTTGTTTTGGCAGCACGTTCTGTCATTAGTAATCTCCACCTAAACATTATATTTCTATATATGTATGTGTGCTCTCATGTTTAAAGTTCTCTCTATACCCAAACATCTGTGTCTCAGCGATTGCTTGCTTGCTTGTGTTGCACAGCTGACTGTAGTGCGGTACAGTACGCCGCAGGAGGTAAAACTCTGGTTGACGTGTACATGAATATAACATGAGGTTGATTTATTGACCTGCGGCTCTGTCTTTGTGTTTGTTGGTGGAGAGAACTCCGACATGATCTAAAATCAATACAACCAATGATGTACAGTCCCTATTCATCAACCTGGGAGCGTGGCGGGGGATAGAAGAGGAGCTTCGTCAGACAGAGAGAGGCGTGAGTACAGGCCTGTGTGGTGATTATCACAGGGCAAGGTTGTGATCATGCAATCTCAACGCATATTCTTTTATTGGTGCAGTTTTTTTGAGCTGTTTTGACCTTCCTCTACCAATTCAATATACACAGTACCTACACGTATATCTGTAGAGCACTCTTACTCTGCCTTCTTCTTTTTTCTTTAATGTCAATCCAAGCTTTGGCATCTATCCAGCTGTGTGGACTTAATGAGTGTGTGGTGGAGGTGACATTTATATCATGCTGCGTGGTTGAGAAGTAGAGCCCACCGGGATGAAGAGCTCATTCACTCACTCAGCCTCCCCACGGGGGCCGCCGCACAGCCCCGCTTCGCCGCTTCAAAACTTTATCCGCCCGTTTCTCCTCAGCTGCTGCTCCATCCCTGCATAGCACTTCTCCGTCACACTCGGCTCTTAGTGGCAGATAAGAATGCCAGATGAGTGTCTCATTCTGCAACAAAAGCCTTCATTTACTGCAGCACATTCTCTGTTATCATATTGTGTCGCTTATTAATGCATGCTAGATGTTGGCTTCACTACACTCATTGTAAAATGTGAGTTAAATACCTTCATTTTTTTGCCGCGTGGTCTCCTACTCCCAACTCTTTCCTCCCATCTCCAGCACCTGCTGCCTTATTGTTCTGCTGTGTAGTTTCTCACCAAGATCACAGTCATATTTGTAGTTTAGACATTTGGCAAATGTGGGATCAGACGTAATTTGGGTGCGGGTTGGGGTTCGCTGTCCTGCTGAAGGACACTTTGCTTCTGTGGCAGGTTTTTCAACCGAGTGAAACTTAAGTTGCACATCTGCTTGGCTGGAATACAACCATGTCCCCCAATGCCAAAACTCGTCCTCCTCTCAGATACATCGAGTTAACTATGAATTGACAGAAAATACATATTGATTGCAGAGATCGTATAAAATATGGACATAGTCCTCCTGACGTGACCCATTGCTTTCTGCCATCTTGGCTCTGAAAATGGGTGAAGAGGTGGAGCGGTGGTGGAGCTTGATGCTGCAGAGAAAGACAGCAAGCAACTAGCGACCTGGTACGACACCCACCTGTCACTCAAAGCGACCCCTCCTACAGTGAGCGGGATTACTAGAGTACCAGATGTTCATCTCTGCTGTAAAGTAGGGCATTTTAACATTATGGTCTGTGTAGATTGACCATTTTAGGAACTGCAGTTTATGTTGCCGCTTGATTAATCGCGGAAATTGCAGTCAACGTAAAGAATTTCTCGTCACCGAGACCAAAGCGATGCTGGAGCAGCAAACGAAAGAGGCACTGGATCACAATATTATCATGTCAGATTGATTAGTTTGAACTTCCGATCCTATGATTACTGGTTACTGATCAGTTTTTGTTCTACATGTGGGGACTCTAAGCAGAGGAATTAGTGTCCCTCAAACAGACAATGCATTTGAAACAAGTCATTATTGCCTTTGTTCGGCAGGAGCTTGACTTATTCTCCATCGTGGGGATAAATCCTTCTCTGTCAATACATTTGATGGAGATCTTAGTCTGAAATCCTCTCTGATGATTCCCAGCCTGTGAAACAACTCATTACAATCTAATCAAATAGCCCCCCCCCCCCCCCCCCATGCTATCTGCAGCTACTCTGGGTACTGGGCTTCATTTATGATCGTTGAAGTAAGATCCACTACTGATCTTATCTGTTGACTCTCACAGTTCAATGTGAATTTGAGCCTTTCACCTCACTTGGTCCCGTCCAACTCTCTCTAGACAGTGATATTATGTAAAGCCTCTGGGTCCCCACTTGGGCCTCTGCTCTCCGTAAATGCCGTCTCACATTTCATCTTCATTAATCATAAACTTACCCTCCGACGGCATTCAAACCAGCGAAAAAGACGGACAAAAAAAAGCAGAAATAGATCTTCACTTTTGGACATAACTGCTTCGTCCCTGTGGTGTGATTCTGCTTTTCCTCCACAGACCCCATTACAAGCGTAAACATCTCTGTTTCATCCGTCTCCCTCTGGTGCGATCGGCGCATTCGTAATGAGTCCCAGGAGACATCTGGCTAGCATTGCTAAGATTCAGACCTCTTGCACACAGATAGGTGAGGGGGGGGGGGTTTGAGTGATGTGTGTGTGGTTTGAGTCACGTATTCCCACAGTTCTCTACGTCTCTCTCAACTAATCTCACTTATTCT